CAATTTCACTGGAAAAGAAATATTTTCTACGGTTGGGGAACATTTCTTGAAGTATGGCTAAGCTGTATTAACGATAATGATCGTCATTTTGCAATGCAATTATACTGGAATTTCTTTCGCTAGCTTGGCTATCGCAAAATATTAAAAACATAATAAAACACAGTTCTGAAATCAACACACCAGACGGCAGGAAATGTAAACTATAAAAAGAGGATTGGTCAGAAAATACTTTAAATCGCATATCAGAGTATACGATTCGCAAATGCAATAAGCTGCCCTAGAAGAAATGTTTTTATCTTTACTATGTAATGAAGTTAATTTGATGGCTGGAGATAAACAAATGGAATTTCTGAGGATACCCAGAAGCAAGCGGCCTATCCTGTTGCCAACAAAACAGCAGAGCCAGCCCACTGTACTGAGGCTGCATCAGAGGCAGGAACAGGGCTGGCATCAATGGTGGCATGGCTGGGCATCTCCCAAGCCCCACCACCTGGCCGAGGACCCCACCCCCCAGGTTCGGGCACCTGATGAGGTTACTTTTGCCTTAGGTAAGCTTAGGACATTAAAATGTGTTAGTCTTTCAAATCCCACAGCATCCTTATTATTTTGGCTGCGGCAGTCTCATGCTAGATCAATCTCTCATTTCTCTGTTTTTTGAGGGGGAGGAGTTGTTTGGAGGGAGCAGAGTGCAAGAAAATAATTCTCCAGGCGCTTCTCCCCGATCTTCAGAGAAGACCCTGGGGCATTACATTGACCTCTGTCTGACAGCTCTGATGAGACTAAAGCAAGTGTAAAGTAGTCATGCCCTCTCCCTCCAGCGTAGCAACAGCTTCTGAACTGAATCACAGGGGATGTATCAGCCTCGTGCACCACTGAAGGGGAAGGGGAGAAGGTGCCTTTATGGGCAGACGCCAAGACACAGGGTTCCCTCTAAGCTGAGTTAGTGTGAGCCAGCTCACAGGTTTCTAGCCTCCGGCTCACACATTTTTGTCTTAGCTCAGGAGGGATGGCTCCAGAGCAGACTAATTTATACAGTAGCCAAATCGCTTGCTCACAACTTTAATGCCAGTAGCTCAGAAAGTAGAATTTTTGCTCACAAGACTCCACAGCTTAGAGGGAACAGAGGTGGCCGCGCATCTGCCAGGGTCATGGCTATGTTGTTGTTGTTGTTCAGCTGCACAGTCGAGTCCAACTCTTCGCGACCCCATGGACCAGATCACGCCAGGCCTTCCTGTCTTCCGCCATCCTCTGGAGTTGGCTCAATATGGCTATAGCAGTGTGCAGATGTGCAGTTAGCAGAACTAGGTACCACCATCACCCCGTGTTCTCTCTGAGTTCTGCTAGCCCCTCAGGAGCTGTGTGCCTGTGGGCTGCTGCACCTGTGCCACTATGCTGCCCTGCACCGGTAAGGGTGCTGCCTCTCTCTTCCGTGGTACACAGTGCAGGGACTGGGACTCGGATATTCCCTGTGACCCCACCACATATAACTAACCTCTGAGTGGGGGCTGGAGTTCTCCTGGAATTAGAGCCGGTCTCCAGACCACAGAGATCGGTTCCCCCGGGGGAAACGGCAGCTTTGGAGGCTGGACTCTGTAGCACCATATCCTTGCCGCGTTCCTTCTCCAAACCCCACCCTCTCCAGGCACTGCCCTCAAATGTCCATGAATTTTCCAAGATGGACTTGCCAGGGCTCTACCGGTAGCAGGAGCTCCTTTGCATATTAGGCCACACCCCCTAGTGTAGCCAATCCTCCAAGAGCTTACAGTAGCCCCAGTAAGAAGAGCTCTGTAAGCTCTTGGAGGATTGGCTACACTAGGGGGTGTGGCCTAATATGCAAAGGAGCTCCTGCTACCAGTAGAGCCCTAGCAAAGACACAAAGGAAGGCAAAGGTGACTGATTTGTGGGGGGTGGGAAGGAAAGATAGTGGCTGAGATGGTGGGGCCAGTGGCCCATAAAACACTGGGCACAGTTTTCTTTTTCTTTTTTTTTATTACATTTTATTAGGGTATATATTCATATTACATCAACTTTTATCATACATATATTCCTACCCTATATCCTACCCTCCTTCCTTTCCTCCCCCTTTCCAGGCTTCCCACAGTGCTTCGATCTTCAGATCACCTTATTACTTCCCCTCCCATCTTTTATTTCTACTCTATTTCTAAAGGTAACACTTTATCAATATATATCAAAACAAAATAGTGTATCTTTTACATCACTGGGCACAGTTTTCTAAAGGGATGTCTCCTGTGATAAGTAGGGCTGCTAGGTCCCGTCAAGCAACCGGTGGGAGATGGAGGGGGGGGAACTCACCTGGAGAAAGAGAAAAGCCCAGGCCTCATTGCCAGTGTTGCACAGGAAGTGACATCATCACACTGTGCTGTCACCACAACACTCTGGTATTTGAGCAAAAACTCTACGGTAAAACCAGCTTTTGTGCCCAAATACCAGAGCTTTGTGGCCAAATACCAGAGCATCTTCTGGATACTGCTGGTGTGATGGCGTCATTTCCTGTGCAACATCAACAACAAGGGAGGAGTTGAGAAAAGGTGGGAATGTGCCCAACAAGAGAGGACAGGCTCCTAGTTCCTAGCTGACTAGAAAAGCCGAACAGGGAGGCCCTGGATTGAGGGAAATTGTATGTGCAGAGGGCAATAAATGGATTGAGCAGCAACGACCAGTTACCACCTTGTGTTTGCTATAGACAATAGAAGCACAACAATATGACATGTTCCTGCCACTGAAGAACATCACACATGTACGAATTAACCATACGCTAATGTTCATATTGTACAATAAAAGAAATTATTTCAAACTATGTACAATAGCTGGTTCTTTCATTCTTTCCAGGTACTTTGCTCATGCATCGGAAGTTTCAAAAGTATAACACTAATCTTGTTACAAAACAAGGTCCTTACAATGGACTGAAGACACAACGTTCCAGATTAATTTAGGACCAAGACTACGAAAAGAAGACTCTGCATATGACCATTCTTATGCGGAATGAGTCTCCTGGTATATATTTCAAGATATTGTTTCAGATGATTCATGGATCTGAGTGAAATAATTTCAGGTAAACAGATGAAAAGTTTAGACATGTCAGAGGGGTAACCATGTTCATTTCTTAAAGCAAAACAAAAGAATCTTGAGGCATCTATTATAGGGTAAATTGTTGTGAACTACAGCCTATTTTATCAGGGTCAGACAGTGTTCCCTCTAAGCTGAGTTAGTGTGAGCTAGCTCACAGTTTTTTAGCCTCCGGCTCACACATTTTGGTCTTAGCTCAGGAAGGATGGCTCCAGAGCAAACTAATGTAAACAGTAGCCAAATTGCTCGCTCACAACTTTAATGCCAGTAGCTCACAAAGTAGCATTTTTGCTCACAAGACTCCACAGCTTAGAGGGAGCATGGCAGATAAACTTGGGCACAGAGATGAAACAAAATTGTACACAGAGGTATCAAAACACTATGAAATACATGAGGCAGCAGTGATATTTCTACACAAAGCTGACTTGTGTTGTGTATGGTCTTTATGCTCATCATGGCCCACAGACATAACAGGCGCTAACACCTTCTTAGATTTATTAAACAAATTTAATGCCTTTACAGTAAAAGGAAATTGTCATTGTGACTGAGACTTAACTGGATGGTAGCAGACTTGGTGATAAATTCTAATCCAACAATTTCATGCTGGGATCTCCCTTTGAAGTTCGTTAAAGAATGGTGATCTTTAGGTCAGCCACAAAGTTCCCTGAGAGACTGAAAATGAAGGAAAAAACATATAGATAAGCATCCATGTGCGCTTGAAGTAATTTTTTAAAAGTGCTATAAACATTCAAATTCTGTGCAGAGAGCAACTGGATTCTGCTGACTGTGTAAATTATGGAAAGTAAGCACATTTGTGTGTAGTTGCTTAGTTTGCATTTATTTTTTGGCCAATAAAAGTCACTGTATCTTATCCATTCTAGCAAGCTCCCTTTCAGCCTGAGATATTTCCTCAAGCACTGCACACACATTTCAGCATCTATCATTATAACCATATGGACCAGAAACTTGTTTTCATTGGGTTTTTTTTTTAAAGCTAAGCTTTTCAAGATGGTGAATTCCACAGGATAAAACTTTGTTGGTCTTAAAGGCGCCACTGGACTCAAACTGAATTCCACATGCAATTACTCATAATGAAGCAAAATTTTGCATAATGGCATGCACAATACAAAAGCAGATGGTTGAGTTTGAAATTGACCCCACCTCTACTGTGAAATGTATGCAAGAATTCTGAAATGTTGGAATGTAATGACCTACTTAAGTCTTTTTTGTTGATCTTGGTATTGTAGCTTTTGTTGGTTTTTTTTTTAGCTTTTATTGTTTTTATTAATACTTTCCAAGCTGATCATGTATCAAAATAAACTGAATTCCAAAGGCAGTAGTACATAATTCTGTGGCCCATTGCTGAACTCACAGCCATGCCTATATTGAAAATATTCTTAACCCTCCCCCCCATATTAAGCTTACAGGTTAAGGTGCTCAGCTGTGCTTATCAACAGAAAGACTGCCAAAGGTTGCATGGCAGAATAATTTTATAAAGCAGCCATTGTGACTCCCTGTCCCACTTGTCTTAGTATCAGGAACATGCAAAGCTGCTAGTGGGAGGCAGACCTGGCAAGCAGTAACAGCATTGCTTATCAGTATACAGCCATGGAACAGAGTTAGACTCCAATGGCACCTTTAAGACCAACAAAGTTTTATTCAAGGTGTGAGCTTTGGTGTGCACGCCCACTTCGTCAGACGATGAAATGGAATTGCATATCATGATTACATATACAGCCATGGACAGCTACCCTTTTGCCAGCCCATTCTGCAGGGCCCTGGCTGTTCCCATGGGAAGACTACAACTCCCAGCATCCATCGCAGCGCACTGCATCTTGGCAAATATCGCGTCTGAGGAGATCCTGCATGCTGGGGTTCATTGCGCAGCCGCAAGCTTCCCCCTGTTTCTTTTCCCTATAGGTCTGTGTTCTGGCATGCCGGAGATGTAAGGGGGTGTGTGTGTCCTAGCAACGGACGTAGCCGCTGTCTCCTATCTCCCTTTATAGGAAGGAGGGAGGGAGGAGAGCAGGGGCCTGGGGTTTTGGGGAGGTGGTGAAGGGGGCCCTTAATGCAAAGCCAAGCATCTCTTCATTTCGCTGTAATCAGCTCGGCGCCTAGTTGCTTCAGCATCATCGCTATAAACCTGGGTATATAGCAAACAAAAGAATCCTGTCTCCTCCTTTGCCCTTTGGTTGCATCTACTCGGCTGTTCGTGCTGCAAGCGGGCAGCGAAAACTTCAGGTGTCCAAAAGGAGAAGAGTAGGGGGAAAGGCATTCTGTCTTAAGCAAGCCCACCATAAGGAATGATGCTTGAATCCATTCGTGTTACTGGTGAGTATTGCTCTAAATTTGGAGGGTTGTTTTTAATCCATCCAGGTCCTGCAGCTGGTGACCGTTTCATTGTAAGCAAAGGGGACTGGGTGCGTTGGGTGTGAGAGAGCAATTAAAACGAGCCTAAATGCATGCATCCACCTTAGGAGTACTTAAGTACAGTCCCCACCAAGGTCTTGGCAGGGATAGGAGTTAGCTTAATTGAAAAGGGTGTGTGTACATTTAGCAGGGTTGTAACAGAATCTCTATTTTTAAAAAAGTAAAAATCTCTTAAGAACATAAGAACATAAGAGATGCCAATGTTGGATCAGGCCAATGGCCCATCCAGTCCAACACTCTGTATCACACAGTGGCCAGAAATACCAGGTGCCATCAGGAGGTCCACCAGTGGGGCCAGGACATTAGAAGCCCTCCCACTGTTGACCCCCCCCCCAAGCACCAAGATGACAGAGCATCACTTGCCCCAGAGTCCCTATCTATACCTTGTGGCTAATAGCCACTGATGGACCTCTGCTCCATATGCTTATCTAATTCCCTTTTGAAGCCGTCCATGCTTGTAGCCGCCACCACTTCCTGTGGCAGTCAATTCCAAGTGAATTCCTTGTTTTTAAAAGAACCCCTTTGTGTACATAGGGATTTCCTACCCCTGTTCTAGAGAAATGGACTTTTCTTTCTTTCTTTCTTTCTTTCTTTCTTTCTTTCTTTCTTTCTTTCTTTCTTTCTTTCTTTCTTTCTTTCTTTCTTTCTTTCTTTCTTTCTTTCTTTCTTTCTTGCAAAGGGCCATTGTCAAAAAATTCCAGTTATGTTTTTGGATGAATAAACTTTAAAAAATGCAACAAGGACTTGAATCCCCCCCCCCCCAAATATGTATAAATTAATCTCTTTGCTCAGCAATGTATTTTGGAATATCCCTTGTTGTCACAAGCAAAGCTATTTGCTGTTTCTTTCTTTCTTGCAAAGGGCCATTGTCAAAAATTCCCAGTTATGTTTTTGGATGAATAAACTTTAAATAATGCAACAAGGACTTGAATCCCCCCCCAAATATGTATAAATTAATCTCTTTGCTCAGCAATGTATTTTGGAATATCCCTTGTTGTCACAAGCAAAGCTATTTGCTGTTTGTTAAAATCAATAGCAATGCTGCCAATATGCAGAGCTAGCTGGAAGAATTTGCCTTTCAGGAGGTTCTGGGGGTTGTCGTTTTTTTATCAGCCCCTGAGCAGCTTGGATGCAATGCAAGAAAATATCAGGCATTGCAAGAAAAAAAAATCATAGTATTCAAATTAAAATTAGTAATATTGTGTACAGTTTGAGGGTTAAATCACTCATGTTTGAGGGTTAAAATTGATCAGCAGACCATGCAAGAAATAAAGGATGAGGGACTAGTCAGCAAAATACAAACGGATGTTGTTTGGAGATTTAAAAACTGCAGATTTTTTTAAAGTGTAGTTTTAAAAACTGTAGTTTCTATTTGCTATAGAGTCTCTACTTATTTTTCTTTACAGTATTGTTCAAATAATGATGAGGGGAAAATACAGCAGCACAGAGTCCATAAAATAATAATCATATCTACCAGCAGCTAATGATTTATCATATTATGTAAATATAAATTCATTACTGCTTAATAGTAGCAAAAAGTATCTTGTTTGCACTGCTTTCTAGTTGTTGTTGTTGTTTTCCGCAAGGCTTTTTTGATACTGGGGGAAAACCAAGCAAGGACAGAAGGAATGAGTGAATGGACTGAGGAGACATCACAATTCTTATTTCAATCCTTACTGAAAACATGAGAAAGAGATTCCAGTGGGTAGCTGTGCTGGACTGAAGCAATAGAACAAAGTTTGAGTCCAGTGGTGCCTTTAAGACCAACAAAGTTTAATTCTGGGTATAAGCTATAAGAGGATGGCGGAAGACAGGAAGGCCTGGTGTGATCTGGTCCATGGGGTCGCAAAGAGTCGGACTCAACTGTGCAACTGAACAAAAACAACAACAAATAAGCTTTCATGTGCATGCACCCTTCATCAGATACATCTGAAGTGTGCATGCACATAAAAGCTTATACCCAGAATTAAACTTTGTTGGTATCATAGTATTCAAATTAAAATTAGTAATATTGTGTACAGTTTTTGTCTGAAATCACTCATGTTTGAGGGTTAAAATTGATCAGCAGACCATGCAAGAAATAAAGGATGAGGGACTAGTCAGCAAAATACAAACGGATGTTGTTTGGAGATTTAAAAACTGCAGATTTTTTTAAAGTGTAGTTTTAAAAACTGTAGTTTCTATTTGCTATAGAGTCTCTACTTATTTTTCTTTACAGTATTGTTCAAATAATGATGAGGGGAAAATACAGCAGCACAGAGTCCATAAAATAATAATCATATCTACCAGCAGCTAATGATTTATCATATTATGTAAATATAAATTCATTACTGCTTAATAGTAGCAAAAAGTATCTTGTTTGCACTGCTTTCTAGTTGTTGTTGTTTTCCGCAAGGCTTTTTTGATACTGGGGGAAAACCAAGCAAGGACAGAAGGAATGAGTGAATGGACTGAGGAGACATCACAATTCTTATTTCAATCCTTACTGAAAACATGAGAAAGAGATTCCAGTGGGTAGCTGTGCTGGACTGAAGCAATAGAACAAAGTTTGAGTCCAGTGGTGCCTTTAAGACCAACAAAGTTTAATTCTGGGTATAAGCTATAAGAGGATGGCGGAAGACAGGAAGGCCTGGTGTGATCTGGTCCATGGGGTCGCAAAGAGTCGGACTCAACTGTGCAACTGAACAAAAACAACAACAAATAAGCTTTCATGTGCATGCACCCTTCATCAGATACATCTGAAGTGTGCATGCACATAAAAGCTTATACCCAGAATTAAACTTTGTTGGTTTTTGTTGAGAAAAGAAAAGTTACTGGATGGCTTTTGAGTGGCAGTATTGTTAAAAGCAGAAGAGTCCTACAGCTGCCAGTATTGCGATGCTCAAATGGATAAACACCAGACGTTTAAAGGTATAGACAATTCTCTTCCTTTTGTTGGACAACTTTGGATTCAAATGTGTTTTGTCTGATCTCAAATAGCTACCTGCTTCAATCCGTTTTTGTCACAGTTTTTGGACTCCTTCCAATTTTATCTTTCACTTTTTTTTTTTTTAAAGCAAGTTTGTAGCCCTCATAGATGTTTGACGGCTTTCTGCTTGCTTCTGTTTCTGTATGAGCCTGCTTTGCTCAAACCTCTGGCAATAGGCACCCCAGCTTGTCATTTCAAGTTGCAAGCAGACCTGATTTAGTCAGTTTCAATCATGGAGAGGGAGGAGCCTTATGGGAAACCCCCCCCCCCACTTTTGTGTAAAACTGACCAGATTTGCCGGAAAGGATTCCAGCCCATAATGTCAATCCACAAACTAAAGTTCCCAGCAAGCAAATCTACTTGTGAATAAGTATGTCTGACTTCCAGGTTATGTGGCATACTGGAGTAATGGTGGCTAACAAGACCTGAATATAGGTATATATTTAGATAGGGAATTTTTCCTTTCAGACTTTGTGGTTATGTATACCTACAAGATAACAAGAATTAGTGATGAACAGGGGGGGGGATGTAGGCCTTGTGGGGGAGAGGTATGGTCTTCTCCATACTATTTACTCTTTCTGTCCCCCTGGCAGCCCCCACATCCTCTCTCTTTTCCCTGCTTCCCTCTCTCCTTCCTGCTCACCAACCAACCTTTGTTTTATCTGCCTCCCTTCAGCTTTATTTATTCATTTACTTATTATTTATTTCCTCCATTTATACCCCATCTTTCTCCCCAATAGGGACCCAAAGCAGCCCTCACAACAATCCTGTCAGGTAGGTTGGGCTGAGAGAGAATGATTGCCCCAAGCAATGCTCCCTCTAAGCTGTGGAGTCTTGTGAGCAAAAATTCTACTTTGTGAGCTACCGGCATTAAAGTTGTGAGCGAGCCATTTGGCTACTGCAGAAACTAGTTTGCTCTGGAGCCCTCCTTCCTGAGCTGAGACAAAAATGTGTGAGCCGGAGGCTAAAAAACTGTGAGCTAGCTCACACTAACTCAGCTTAGAGGGAACACTGGCCCCAAGGTCACCCAGTGAACTTTCATGCCATAGTGGAAATTCAAACGTTGGTCTCCCAAATCCTACTTCAGTGCTCACGGCACCATGTCTGCAAGCAATCTGTACTGACAAGAACTTTCTGGTTTCCCTCCCACTATGTTTACAGCCTTGTTTCCTAAATGCCAAGAAAGAATTAGATAAATTTACAAAGGCCAATTTCAAAGGTTAAGATAAAAGAGTGTATTTTTTAAATCGCTTGTCTGCTTTTAAGTCCTCTGGCATTGCCTCAGGTCTTAGTCAAGCCTAATATTACACTTGTTTCCAGGAAAAACGTCTACTTAATAAACACCTCTAAATTACATTTGCACCAAAGCTTTTCTTATCATGTCACCCCTACTTGAACCCGCTGCCCATCCAGGCTCTACAATCCACTATGCAAACAGCAACCCAGAAACGCAACCATGCCAAATCAATTTAAAAAATAAATCCTTGAATGGTTATACAAATGATTCCAAAATACCAACATTATGATTACACATAATACACAATGCATAAATATAAGAGCACAGATAATTCTAAAAACTATTCTAAACCATAGAACATTATTTTAATATATAATTCAAAGGGGATTAATTCTCATTTTCCTTTTTCCTGTTCTTAGATTTTGATAGACTTGTCACTTTCACTTGTTTTGCTGGATCCCAAATTTAACCAAGAATTCATGTTTTGCTGGAAGACTGAGTTTTTCAAATACTGATCAATCTGCTGTTGCTACATCAACGTCATCAGTATATGTAATTCTCAATGTGGCTCCACCTGTGGATATTTAAATCTGGAGACTAGAGCCATGACCAGACAAGTCAGATCTTTCTACAAACCAGAGGAAAGCCCCAGGTTTTCAGGAAAAAAACTGAAATCTAAAATAATTAATTGGAAAAAAACCAAAATAAAAATTGGAAAGTTAACCCCCCCCAAAAATAGAAGCAACCGTTTAAGGAAATCCTGTGCCTTTAAGAAAGGAATGCCCCCTTGGTGGCCATGGTGGGGGTTGCTAGGCAACCACAGTAATATTTCTAGCCTTCAAACCTTGGTTTCCTCATTAAAAGGCAGGAGGGAGGCCCTTTTCCAGGACTATATTGGCCTCCCAGTCCACTCCTGCTCCCCTGGAGGAAGGACTCATCGGGACCAGGACCAGCAGCAAATTGCTTCCACACAATGTGCATGACTCACCCAGTTACTACAGTGGTGGCTACCAGATAATGCCACACAACTTGCCTGGCCCCAGTGGCAGCCTCTGCATAACTTGTGAGGCTTGGCCAGACCTGGCAGCAGCCACATTGCAAATCAGCTGAGTGACTTGCTAGCATACAGATTTTGAAACAGGATCAGACTTTTCCCCAGGGAGAGGCTGCCAGACGCAGGGAAGGAAGGAAAACTGAAAGTTAGTGTGGTATAGTGGTTAGAGTGTGAGATTAAGATCTGGGAGAGCCAGCTCCGATCCCGGTTCTGCCATGGAAGCTCGCTGGGTGACCTTGGGCCAGTCACTCTCTCAGCCTAATTTGTTGTTAGCTGTTTTGGATCACCCACTGGGGAGAAAAGGGGGCTATAAGTGTCTAAATCAATAATTTTCATAACGCTTTCAGTCCCTGAAAGGAAGTTGGACCGTTTTTTCTTTCTTGTTCTTGTAATTTAAAATAGTTGTGGGGTATGTACTTCCATTTGACTAGTAGCTTTCCACTTACCTTCCAGCACAAATGCTGTCTTGTATAGTGGGACTGCCTGAGCACTGCAAGGTGAGATATGGCCGATAGTCGCCCCCCCCCCCCAAACCCGGCGTATTCTGACTGCCTTGTTCACAGGAGGCTTTTCTGGATGTTTGCTAGGATGGGAGTTTATCAGCGCCTCCAGCAAAACACGCTAGATGAGCATCTCTGGGCTGACACTGATCAAAAGGGGGAAATCTGATTTGAAGTCTGGTGCCCTGGAAGAATGCTTGGCCCAGTACAGAGGGAAGGCTTCCCCGATTGGCCATGAAATAAAACCAACCTTGCCTCATCTTTGTGTAAAGCAGAAGGAAGGGATGTGCCATCTTACGGAGGCTGTGCCAGAGGGTAGCTGTGTTGGTCTTCTGTAGAACAGCTAGCTTGGAGTCCAGACCAATTTGATTTTCAGGGTATCCACTTTTGAGAGCCTTGGCTCTGAATAGCTCCTACTAAAAAAAAAATCTTGCTCATTTTGAGTCTTGCCAAGAGATATTTTGCATCGTTGACTACCTGATTCTTTTTTTAAGTGGAGATGCTGGGGTTTAAACCTGGGACCTTCTGCATGCAGAGCTGATGCGCTTTCCAACCAACAGGGATAGAAACTTGATTAAAAAGCACTCATAAGAGTCTAGATTCTGATGAAGCCAGCGTCTGCATCGGCTTCTCTGTTTGCATGATGGTACAAACCAGGGCTTTTTTTTTTTTTTAAAAAAAGAGGTGCTGGAACTCTCATGAGCTTTTTAACGTTTTTAAAAGAATTCTGTCGAAGAGGTTCTGGAACTCTGTTCCGGTGTGTTCCCCCAGAAAAAGAAAAGCCCTGGTACAAACAGCCCTGAACACCTTTGCCTGCCCAGTAGTTTATGTGGATGTTCAAGGGTATGTTAAGGAATAACCTGATTATATTGTTGAAAATTCCCTTCAGTATTTCTATGCTTGTGAAATTCGCTACGTATTGTAGTTACAGTCAGGCCCATAGCCACAGCCCAGAGCCCCGCCACCCACAAGCCGTACCCCACCAAAATGCCAGACCCCCCACCCCCAGAGCACCTAGCCCAGCAGCCATGCCAGGCTGGAGAAAGGGAAGCTGCCCTGCAGTTTCTGGTCAGTTTCACTCCCTGGGATGGCTGTTAGGTTTAACAGCTGAAAGGAGTGGAGTGAAACTGACCAGAATTGGCAGGGCAGTGTTCTTTTTCTTCCCCAGCCTCCCCACCCAGGTGGAAAGCTGGGGAAGGAAAGGAAAACTGCCCTTCACTCCCCTCCCACCAGCTGTTCCTCCCCAAGGGAAACTGACCAGAAGCTGCAGGGCAGCTTTCCTTTCCTTCCCCAGCCTCCCCACTGCTGGGAGGGGGGAACTGGGGAAGGAGAGAGAGAAGGAAGGCATGGGGATGGATGGTGGTGGGGAAGCCAATCTCTCTCTCTCTCTCTCTCTCTCTCTCTCTCTCTCTCTCTAGCATCTAGTCCAGTGTGTTTTCATGGCTCTCAAAACCATATCTAACATTGTCCCGTGGCAAAACGAGAACTAGTAAATAAAATCCTGGAGGCTGCGGAATTGGATAAATTGACTTTATTGATAAAAGGTGCGACGGATTCGACATTCCAGAATACTTGGTCACGATTTTATCATCGGTATGATAAATATATGTAGGCCAGCTTGCAAGAGACAGACTAAGAGTTTACTAAATGAAATATATACCTGTTAGGATGAGAGAGACAGAATAGTTGCTTACACAGTTCATGAGAAATTGTTATTAAGGTGGAATAGGCACCAGTATAAATATTGGTAAAAATTGAAAATAACCTCCATGGATCTGTTTGTACTGTTTGTGTGTATGTATGTGTATGTATATGTTATGATTGTTTGTGTATGTTATGTGGAAAATGTAATAAAACCCTGCCCCTTTGGGGGCAGTTTAAAAAGAAGAAGAAGATCCCCTGGCATTACACCTGATCTCCAGGTGGGCTCTGTGGCATTAAATCCCATTGAAGTCCCTCCCCTCCGCAAACCCGGTGCTCCTTAGGCTCCACTCCCAGAATCTCCAGTTATTTATTATTTTTTTAAGTATAAGCATAATGGGTGCCCCAAAAGCAAAAAAAAAGATTGCCCCACAAAACAAAAAATTCTAGCTACGGCCCTGGTTACAGTTAAATACACCCCTTTTTATAACATGATGAATAACCATGCAGCCCTCTGAAGAGCTCCCCCAGTTTGGTGTAGTGGCTAAGTGCACGGACTCTAATCTGGGAGAACCGGGTTTGATTCCCCACTCCTCCACTTGCACTTGGCTGGATGACCTTGGGTAAGCCATAGTTCTGATAAGAGCTGTTCTTGAAAAAGAGCAGTTTCTGTCAGAGCTCTCTCAGCCCCACCTACCTCACAGGGTGTCTGTTGTGGGGAGGGGAAGGGAAAGGAGTTTGTAAGCCGCTCTGAGACTCCTTTGGGTGGTGAAGGGCGGGGTATACATCCAATCTCCTCTTCTTCTAAACCCATTAATTCCAACAGATTTACACTGGAATAACTCCACCTGGGACTACACCATTTGTGGCAGGGTATGAGCTGAGTTTGCCGCAGGCCCGACCAATAAAAAATCGTCACTTCAGAAGTGAGCGGTGACTCATGAAAGCTCCTCCCCTGCCACAATTTTTTTTAGCCTTGAAAGTGTTACAGGACTCTTGCTCTCTTCCACTGCTACAGACTAACACAGCGATTACACCGTTTGCTTCTTTTGTAACCTTCTCCTTCCTTTGCATCACACAGAAAAACTTCACTGGCCACAGCGGGAGCTCTCCAAAAAGAGGCTCTTGACTCCCGAAGAACATAAACTGATTTTTCAGAATGAAAGCCCTGTCCAGGACCTCTCCCAGTGCGGCATCCTCAAGGACACATTCACCACGGGGACGAGCAGCTACAACGTCCTCCTGCAGAGCAAAGAGGGGAAGAAGCACCCGCTGCAAAAGCGTCCCCCGGCGTATCCTAAACGGCACCGAAAGGCCACGAAATCCTCCGGTGTGCCAGGAAACAATGAGCGCCGCAAGCTCAAGCCCCCCACGCCTTTCCTCCGTGGGTGGTGCTGCCTCAATCGGCAGCCCTCCCTCTTTATCACCAGCCTGGCGCCCCCCAGCAGCAAGCTGGCACACAGCATTTCCGTGGCAGGGAGTGGCATAGGGCCCGCCCCCAGGCCCAAGGTGAAACGGCGTTCTTTCTCCAGCCTGACCAAGCCGAAGCAGCTGCCGCCATCTAAAAGTTACGTCAAGGAGGGCGACGCCGCGGGGCGAAAGCTCTGTATCCTCACCGCCATCAAGCCTTCCAACGTGGAGAGGGAGAAGAGCAAGTTCTTCAAGTCCGATTATAGCTACAATCCACAGTTTGAGTATGCAAATCCTGCCATGTCCAACGTGTTGGCGAAATACAGCCAAGCGTCAGGCACATTTCTGAAGCAGGTAAGCTTCTCATAGACCCACACCGCCCTCACGGCCACTTGCCAGAGTCTTTTCCAGGTTCTTCCCTCTCCCCCCTTATTGTTTATCTATTACGTTCTGAACTTGCGCCCCTTTCTAAACTTGTCCTACCACCTGCTCCCCGTGCAACAAGTATCAGCCATCCGTTTGGTTCATGCGTTTGCCAAGATCTACGTACAGCCTTGTGGCATGCGAGGATCTGTGGTGTGTGTGTATGAAGCTGTGTTTGTTCCACTGCAGCAGTGCTCTCCTCTGACGCTGCCCATCATCTTCAGGTCAGTTTCAGTCCCGCTTACTTGGCCACCAGATCCAGCGAAATATGGGGGTGAGGATGGGGATCAGGTGCTGGGGCCAGGGAAAGAGTGGCGGGTTCTGCCTAACTGCCCTGCATAGTGATCCCGAGAGCAAGAACTGAATGAGTCCTTCCTCCAGCCAAAGTCCGCCAAATGATTTTGGGAGGTATGCAGGCAAGACACAGGACTCCTTGGAGATATCTCCTCTAATCTCATTTTGAGAAACAAGATCTTGGTCTCTATTACAGCAAGTCCAGACTGTAGTTGATACAAGTTGAGGAAACCCCAGTCTCAAAATTTCACACTCCCAGATTCCCTCCTCTAATTGCTTGTTTTCTACCCACCAGAGGAGGGTGTCATTTTTGCTGATTCTCTTTGACAAAAGCTATGTTGGACAGTTGCTGGAGTAAGGCAGGGGATTGGGCCAAACTGAGTGAAGAAGTTGGCTGGATCCAGCCCCATCTGTTAACTGCTGTTTGCCCTGCAGTCCCAGTTAATGAAGTAATGCATTGATTTGTTGTTATTTAATTAATGCTGGAGAGCGACACATAATGTATTTACAGTGCAGTCCCACACAGGGTTACACCTTTCCAAGACTATAGACTTCAATGGGCTTGGAAGGGTGTAAGTCTGCTTAGGAGGTCGTGGTCAAGCAGTGAGCTGGTTTCTTTGCCCTTGATTATGATTGGGCTTGTGTGCCGGAGATGAGTGCAAGGCTCTGCCTGGCTCTGTTGACATTGGTAGTTCTTGAGCACTGATTCCCCGCCCTGGTGGCATTAGCGATCTATCACATTTTTTTCTACTTTTGGCCTTCCTCCAAGGAGCTCAGAGCCCTGTACATGGTTCTCCATTCATCATTTTATCTTCAAAGTCTGCAAGGTAGGATAGGTTGAGGGGATATGACTTGCCCGAGTCACCCAATGAATATCATGCTGAGTGAGGACTCAAACTTGGGGTCTTCTAGATCCTTATCCAACACACTAACCGCTATATCATACTGCTACCTCTTCCCCCCCATGAAGGGTTCCATGCTTATATATTTTCCTAAGATTTCCCTGACACACATGGGATGCTGTACACAGTGGTAGATATGTTTCACTCAGAGGTTTCACATTTGTTTAGAAATAGGATGTTTAGGATTATAGTTTAATTTATTAAAATTAATTAAGTTTATAGTCTGGTTTAGAGAGCCGGTGTAGCACAGTGGTTAAGAGTGGTGGACTCTAATCTGGAGAGCCAGGTTTGATTCCCCACTCCTTCTCCCGATGAAGCCAGCTGGGTGACCTTGGGTCAGTCACAGTCCTCAAAAGAGCTCTCTCAGCCCCACCTATCTCACAGTTTGTCTGTTGTGGGGAGAGGAAGAGAAGGAGATTATAAGCCACTCTGAGACTCCTTTGGGTAAGAAACAGTGGGGTATAAAAACCAACTCTTCTATATATATAAAAGAAAGTCCCCTCACCATAAAATCAACGCTTAGGCCAAACCCCTGGACCTAGAAACACAAAATTCGGGGAGAACACTCCTACCATGATATAGATGCTCACTAAGAAGGGATTTTTAGAAATTTGACCCCTAAGGGGGTCAAAGGGGGTAAAATGTGCTCCCCCCGCTGCTTCCTATGTGACTGCTGGGTTGCTGCCTCCTTGCACCCCCCACTCTCTGATTGGTCAGCTGCAGAGCTCAGTGTTCTGAGGTTAAAAAAAACCCCAGCTTACAGGAGATAGCAGAGAGCTAATAGCAGTTGAGGAAATCAGGAATGACCAACCACCTGTGAGGCACAGCGATGCTGCTGGCCCAGCATCCCTGATGGCTTCAAACATGCTTCCTCTCACCTCCTGCACCTGACAGGTGGCTGTCTGTCAGGTGCAGCAGCGGGTGCAGGGTGCTTAAAGCCATCAGGGAGCCCGCCCCAGTAGAAACCTGCTCCTTAGTTATCCTGCCGGCCCAGCGTCCACAATATCTTGCAATACCCCACCCCCTCCCCCACTTATACTGGACAGGCAGCTGCCTGTCAGGTGTAAGAGAGGGAGTGGGATGCTTACAGCCATTGGGGAGGCTTGTTCAGCAGGATTGCCTTAATGCTGCTGCTGGCCCAGCCTCCTCAATGCCTTTAAATACACTCCCTATAGGAGCAGGGCCAGGGTACTTTAATCCATCAGGGAGACTACCCGAGCAGAAATACTTTAGCAATGCTGCTGGGCTAGCCTCCCCAATGGCTTTGGACACACTCTCACCCACCCGTCCACCACCTGACAGGCAGTTGTCTGTCAGGTGCAGGAGTAGAGTGTTGAAAGCCATCAGGGAGGCTTGCTCAGCAGGATTGCCTTAGGGCTGCTGCTTGCCCAGCCTCCCTGATGCCTTTAAACACAATCCCCCCCTTACACCAGACAGGCGGGTGTCTGTCAGGCGTAGGAGCAGGGCCAGGGTACTTTAATGCTGCTGCAGAACCTCAACCCACCCAAACTCTGTAATGGCACCAGACTGCAAGTGAAGGCCCTGCACAGGAACATCATTGAGGCCACACTGCTCACTGGCAGTACTGGGGAGAGTCAATGTTCATACCATGCATACGACTCATACCATCAGAAATCCCATTCGACTTCAAGAGGCTGCAGTTCCTCTTCAAGGTCTGCTTTGCTATGACCAACAAGTCTCAAGGCCAGACACTGAAGGTGGCAGGAATTGACTTAACAGACGACTGCTTCTCACATGGACAGTTCTATGTGGCCTGCTCCAGAGTGAGCTCACCAAGCAGCCTGGTGATCCTAGCACCTGAGGGCAGAACCACCAATGTGGTCTACAGAGATGTCCTTCAGTAGACA